TAATTTTTAATATTATTTAACTAAATATTAATAAACGGCATTGCTATTATGATCGTTGACTGTCGACGGTCAACGAAAACCCTAGCTGACGAACAATCGTGGATCCACCACTCTCTAGATCTACATTCTTCTATTTAAAATTTTATCTTCTAGTGCAACATGATTTCTTCAGTGTAAAATTTTTGTCTCGCATAATTTTTTGAAAATTTGTTATATACCAGTTTTTTTTTCCCCTATATGAATATTATATATCATATCCATTCATAGTGAAATGACAAAATATATTCATCCTGCAAACCTCATGATATGCGAACAATTGAAGGAAGTTTTAGTATGTAATCGAGTCATCATATAATGTTATTCGAAATGGTTTAAGACACTGAAATTTTTTTCTTGTTCTTGTACATATAATTTTTAATCATAATATTATATTTCACATTATGTGTAACCAAAAATAACCTTTTGCTATAAAACCTACAAATGCCATTAAAAATAAACAAATAGACCAAAATACCCCTAATAAAAAATAATAAATTATGCCGTTTTTATTACATTATGTTGCAATCAAATTTACTGAGAACGATGATTATTTTGTTAATATTGTATGTTTTTATCAGTAAAGATACCTATAACATTTTATTCATGGTGTTTTCGGGTAAGCAGTCGATATCAGACCATATGCAAGAGGCGGTAAATTATTTATTTGAGGCATATGAGAATAATTTCAAGAAAAGTTTTAAGAGAGACAAGCTAAAGAAGTTCTCTAATTCAGGAAATTGGAAGTTCCACTTGTTGTTCACCTAATTTAGAGACCGTGAATCCCTGCCTTGATGGTGTCAATGGTGTGGAAATACTAATCACCAGCAGCTTCAAACAGGAAGGTTTCCCCCTCTTCGAAGGGCTTGTTAAGAGATAGAATCTCACATCGAATAAAGATGTAAACATAAACAAATTTATAAATGATTGAGTTACTTCTCTTAATAAGGTTAACCTTTTAAAATTGAACCTCAAATCTTAACATTGTATCAGAGCCCATTAAACTCTAAAAAGCAATTCGATCTGATTAAAACTCCAAAAGTGAGAATACGGATTTCAAGATCGGTATGCTCAAACGAGCCACCATCTTGCGAGAACATATTAAGGGATAGAAATCCCACATCAAATAAAGATGTAAATATAAATTAACTTATAAAGGATTGTGTTACTCCTCTTAATAATGATGGAACCCCAAATCTTAACATGGCTGACAAAATTATTTATGCAATGTTCACTAATGGCTCTTTTAGATTTTCTTTTTAAAATCCGACTTTTCATTTTGACAAACGGGTTCTTATATTTCATTACTGCTATTAATGCGATGAGTGTACTATGGCCATCACATCAAATTAAAAACAAGTAGCGTTCAACCTGTTTCGTTAGTCCCATTCCAATGAAGTAAGAGATCCCCTTAAGGAGTAGTCTTGAGAAGTATGAGCCTCTTGGGGGAAATGGGAATTAATGTCGATCAATTATGTTCACAAAATTTGTCTGAAATATATTTGGGAATAGATATTAGATATGTCGAGTGCAAAATGGTCGATAAAGTTTATGAAAATTAAAATCACTTTTAACAAAGCGGAATGTAAAAAAAGCTTATATAGTTATATTGAAATGAGGAACTCCTTAGAGCCTACCAACATTTTTCTGGGAAAAGTCTCTAAGATGTAATAAAATTCTTGAGAACACCAAACAGCTTATTAGCTTCAGAGAAATCTCTAATCCCATACCCATGAAATCCTCCTTCACTGAATTCGTCGATGACCCTCAAGCCCTTCTCTTTCAGTACCTTTGCCAGCTCAATTTGACGGTCGATTAGTGGATCCCCATCAAATCCCGTGATCAAGATCTTCCATCCCAGGTCCTTGATTTGTTCCAAAACATCTGATTTGATTCCCACCATTGGATTACAATACTCGTGATCGCGGTCAACGCCGGTTGGCAACGCGAGTTCCCACATTATATCAGTCACACATGGTGGCAGCACCTTATCATTAACTAGCCTTAGTTCTGACTGAGTCCTCTTGACCCCACCGAAGAACGGTTGATGCAATATCAACCCTATGATCTTCACAGGATTGAGATCATCTCTAACAGCACGTAAGCCAATATGATAGGCTATGGTCCCGCCAGCACTAGATCCCATAAGATAACACTTTGAGAAATCAGCATATTTTGTTAGCCACTCATCACTGGTGGGTTTGATCCACTGCAAGGCTTCCATGCAGTCATCATAGGCTGCCGGAAGGAGGTGTTCCGGAGCAAGACGATACTCTGTCGACACTATCACTGCCGGTATTTCAATTGCCACTTTGCTGCAGAATTCATGGAACATGGTACTGTCTGCACTGAGTAAGATTAACCCGCCACCATGGTAGTAAAATATGACCGGCAGTTTCACGGCCGGATCGGAATCAAATGCTTTCCGGGGAAGGAATATACGGACCCAAGTTTTGTTTGATTCATTAACAGGGATGTCTTTAGTTAGGACCGGATTTGAGTCACTGGGATTAGAACAGGCAGGAGTGGTGGGAAAAATCTCAACTATACGTGTAACAGACCCGTCGGGGTTTCTGGCCATACCCAGATAGCCATATGGATCAACAGTTGGGTCGATTGGATTCGACATGGTAGAATGATGATGAAATTGACTTGCTGTGGATAAGTATTTTGAAGTTTTCTTGATTATAAGTGAAGGCCGAACGTGGGAATATACTATTGTTGCTTGGATCAATTCGTAACTTATCCCCACTAGGATTATGAAATCATTAATTACTGATGTGATCCCTGCGAGGGAGGGAGTAAATCGGTGGTATTATGAATATTTATATTTAATCTAGTGAATTACAGGGCGAGAGGAAAAATTTTATACTCTTAACTTCGGATTATTGAAAATAAAACTTAATTTGTGGTCGTCCTTGTTTGACGATAAGATGCTAATATTCCGTAAGTAAAATTTGACATTCGCGTTACAATTGTTTGGGCTCCATTTTAATGAAATTTTAAGGAAAAATGTATTTTTGAATAGTGATTTTTAAAGAATGTGTGATTAAAAAAAAAAAGGAAAAATTTTGAGTTTACGTATAATATTATTTTATTGAAAAAAATGCGATTGAAAAGAAGAAGATAAAAACGTATTAAAATTTTAATGGAATCCAAACATGGGCAATGTGTAAAATGTTTGTAGTCAATCACCCTTCGACTATGTAAGTTAGCAAAAACTATTGACTTGCTGACTTGGCATAGTCTGATGTAACTTAAAAAAAGACATTTAAGGCTAATTCTTTTTTGTTTATACTCAGGTGTCCCAACTTTGTCAGACTAAATTCTGGACCTCCAAGACTCTTGTCTCTAGAACCTTAGATGAGGTAAATCGCGGGATATGCCTCAACTAATTTTCAGGTTCCTCTTACCAACTGTGCACTTCTGCGCACAAGAAATCATCCTCCAACGTGATTGCTTCATACTAAATAAATCTAGTTGTAGGTTCTCACTAGGATCCGAACTCCCACCCTGCCGCTGGAAGCAAGTTATGTGCTGATTGTTCCTCCAGTTAAGCTGTGCCCCGGGGGGCAAATTTAATGCAATCACTTTGGTATATAAAAATAAAAGAAAAACTTTGTCGACGTTATTGCATTTAAAGGATTTAGATTAAAAAAATAAATTTGAAAGCCGAACGTAGTCGGAATTTGGTTAATTTTAATCTTATAGTAAATGTAGTAATGAATTATAGGAAGTAAAGAAAAGAATTTCGTAATGTCGCCTTCGAATTTATTAGTCACCAAACTTTTTTCTCTTTTGGAAGGTACAAGGCACAAAACTTCAACACCCTATAGACTTATAAATTAGCGCCATTAATGCGATGGGTACCACAAATTTCTGGCTAAAATGGAATAAGAGAGATTTCACTTGTAATGCCATTAAGGTGTTTGGTCCAGATGAAATTTAAAGAAAACTTGTAGGGATATTGAGAATGGATGTATTCAAGTCTCACGCGTTGAGTACAAGTAGTGTCATGTTATTCCATTTACAATTAAACTACTGGTACATGTAGCGTAACTGTTCCATTTAGGAACTGCTGTATTTACTTTTCAAAGTCTTTTCACATGCATGGTTGTTTCTTCTATGGTCTATAATATATCATGTTCAGTAATATAAGAGTCCGCAACATTCAACGGAATAGATTGGTGGAGGAATAAAGCACTCAATTGATGTTGGAAGGGTCACGGAACACACGATAAGATTACAAGATGAGGAGCTTGATGTAAAGTAGACATAAAGTTTCAACCATAATATTGAATCACCAATTATAATCTAACGCAATATCTTTTTTACATTTGTTGAACAAAAAAAATAAAAATTGCATGAAAACATGGACTTCAAGAATCAAAATGACCAAAAAGTCAAACAACAACAAGAAACAAAAATCAACATCAACTCTACAATTACAGATTATAAGCGGTGTCCAAGAATATATTAACAAATGGTTCACCAAATAACATTTTTATACATGATGACTTCAATATACAAAGACTTTGCATAGGCGTGACCAAAAATTAAATGGATGTAATAAATGAAAAAGAAGAGAAAATATAGAACAAAATCTTTACACTTTTCTATGTCATTCAACAAACAATAATTTATCATGTTCTTCTTCATCTTCATCCTCTTCTTCATAATTTTTTTTATTCTAATATAACTTTCATGTTATGTTATATTTGACCTCCATTTTTTTCAAAACTCATTTTCAATTATACATTCTCCTATAAAATAATTTTACACGTACACTAAATTTTTAACCACATATTCTCTCAAAAATAACTATTTCAAAATGCATTTTTTTCCTAAAAAAGGGTTTCAAACGGGGGCTAAATGATAGTACCAAAAAAATAAACCTCATATCTATATATTTAATTTAATTTATTATTTCATGCCGCACAACACGCCTCATAGGCCAATGATGATCCCTAGTAGGGATAAATAGCACTGTTCATACGTATTTAATGAGAATTTTATTATTATTATTATTATTATTTCAATTCTCCATAAATGCACCTATCTTTTCTTTTCAAAAACTAAATTTTCTAATTCATTCCATCTATACATACAAAGATTGAATAAAATCAAAGCATCCAAATCCTTTTAAAAGAAATAAATAAACAGTAAGGGAATTAAACACCCCAATTGCATATTATTGCACGTTCAAGTAACTTTCTATTTATGAAGAGTATCTTAAGTATAATGAGTTCTGATAGAGAGTATATATTTCAACAATACTATCTATTTTAGTTCTTCATTTTGCCTTTTTCAAGAAACATTTATTGATCTCTTCATCTTTTATTTAATATATTTTTATATATCAACTACAAGTCCATTAAAATATGATTTGAATAATTTAAGGATTAGAATATTGAAATCCTGAAATTTGTGAAATATAAATTGATTTTTTTAAAACATTTTACTCTCTAGAATAAAGAGAAATTTTGTATATAAAAAATCTATTGAAAATGATCTTATAATTTGAATAATCAAAACTTTAGTTCTTTGTAATCAAGTCTTACCAAGGAAGATAAAATGTGGTATTGGTTATTTTGATGCTGGAATCTCATCAGTTTACAATATTCTGAAAAGTGAAAAGGATGGATATCTTATTAAAATATTTCTATCTTGAAAAG